TGTGTGGCAGTGCACACATAGAAAGTTATTTTTACATATTCATACATTAAAACATTAATTGTAACCAATGAATGTGAAATCATAGGGAGCTTGTCGGCCGAGTGGACAGCACACTGGACTTTTGATTCTGTGGTCCCAGGCGCCGGCGAGAAACAATGGGCAGAGTTTCTTTCACCCTATGCCCCTGTTACCTAGCAGTAAAATAGGTACTTGAGTGTTAGTCAGCTGTCACGAGCTGCTTCCTGGGGGTGGAGGTCGAGGACCGGGCCGCGGGGACACTAAAGCCCCGAAATCATCTCAAAATAACCTAACCTCAAGATAGATCTCAAGATAACCATGATATATATGTACTTCCGCCTACAGTTTAGACCTATTGTCTTATGAATGAACCTCTGTCCTGCGTGACAGTATTCCAGCATTATCCTCACTTTAATAAGACTTAATTGAAATCCTCAGATTAGGCAAAACTGTAATTAATTTGTCAATAAAGATGTTAATAATAAATAGTCAATCAAGCAGGAGGATAACGATTTGGGACAAAATTAAGGGAAGGAATGTTGCCCAACTGCTTTGGCCGCTTGGGTGACGGACTGCCGGTGAGCAAGAAATAAGGCCGTCGCTGTACCGTCAAATACAGCGACGGTACTTGACAGTACAGTCCAATACTTATTTCCCTTAAGAAATATTCCATGACTTTTGAATTTGAAATCAAACAAAATCAATCAGTAAGTAACAGTAGTTGACTAGATTTCCAACGCTGCTTAAAAATATCTAATTTACATTGAGACAACATTTTAATATGGTATCATGTTGCTATATATTTATATTTAGGCTTACTTGCATACTCGTATTTTATTGCTTATAATAAACGCATTTGCCTATCGTTGAGAACAGTTGACACTGTTCTCAACATCTTACCATCTTACTTGCTTATTCCACAAACTTGTATTTATGTATTTATTTACATATACAAGAATGTACATTGGGTTTGTGAGAGTACATATCACTGATGTTTTAACATTTTTGCAGCGCCACTATAACACGCATAGCCTTTCGGAATGCAAACTTGGCCAAAACATGACTCTAACAAGTTTCTTTGTCAGTGGTGTAACAAGAACACTCTGGAACAAAAACACCGCCCGATCTTCAAACATAAACAGTGGTAGACTACTGCAGCAGCAACAACATCACCACCAACAACAACAACTTCTACTGAAGGATATAACCAGGAGGCAACTCACAGTCTGGTCTGGTTGGTTCCTTCCTGCTGGAGGACCTTAGGGAACCCGCCTTCAGGTACTTGGCAGGTCACGTCGATATTTGGGGCCATGAAAACTCCCCCGAGAACATGAGGAGACATATTCATCGTCCCTGTCGGGTAGAAATTCACTCTTTTTTATGACATACATCGTAATAGTTCTGAACCACGAAAAAAATATACATACATACATACCCATCCTGTTTCTTATAGATGTAAACGATCTTACCGAGGGTATAGACTCATTCCTCTCAATGTTTGCTGATGATGCAAAAATTATGAGAAGAATCAAGACAGATGAAGATAGACAAAGGCTACAGGACGACCTGGACAAACTGGAGGAATTGTCTAGAAAATGGATACTAAAGTTTAACTCAGGAAAGTGTAAAGTAATGAAATTAGGTGAAGGGAGCAAATATTTATGTATTATATATATATATATATATATATATATATATATATATATATATATATATATATATATATATTAATATATATATTTATATATATATTTATATTATATGACAAAAGACTGCAGGAACACACACGCCATAGATCACTAAGAACTCTAAATTTTTGGGGTGATCCTGAACGTCATGGGTTCGAATCCTGGTCGGGTCATTTAGAGGTCTTAGTGTTATATATTTATATATATATATATATATATTATACATATTTATATAGAGATGACCAAACCACACACGAGAAATTGAAGAGACGACGATGTTTCGGTCCGTCCTGGACCATTATTAAGTCGATTGGGCATCTGTATATATCTGCATCTGAATATAGAGTTACATTCTCCAGATACTATGACCCAAAAATTTCTAGTGTTCCTCTAACATCGGATAAGTTTTCCGAGGAGTTTTTAAAGGTACATGTTAAGCAGAATATACTTAGTAAAGAATATTAATCACTGAGGGAGGAATGAGGAAGGGACAATTGGGAGGAAGATGGCATGACTACACCTGCAGCTGCTACACCTGCAGCTGCTACACCTGCAGCTGCTACACCTGCAGCTGCTACACCTGCAGCTGCTACACCTGCAGCTGCTACACCCGCAGTTGCTACACCCGCAGCTGCTACACCTGCAGCTGCTACACCTGCAGCTGCTACACCCGCAGCTGCAGGTAGCCACACCTGTGTATAATACATACTCTGCAAGGCCCCTCACAGAGAGGGGCTGGACATGCAGAGTCCAGCTGAGACCTTTTGTTACAACGATGATTAGGCCTTTTCTTCAAGCGGAAATTTGCATTTCTTGCATTAGCTGAAGCTCTCCATGCCCTTTTTACTCTACGATTCATTGTGAAACCATCTTCGTTTTGTCACTTTCCATATATATATATTTATTTAAGTTACACATTTACTTTTTATCTTCTGAGACCCACTTGGAGACTGTCAGCCCCAACACTCAATGGGCGGGACATCAACATCTCTTTATAGGCGCTTGACAGTGCACAAAAGATAAGGCTCAATTAAAAATCGTAAAATCTTCTACAACCAGACCATTACTAGATATATACTGATCAGGAACACATAAATAATTGACACAGAGACGATAGAAGATTAGACATAGCAGAATCACTTCATGTCAAGCAAACTCAACCAATCATCAACGGCCATCCATCATCTGCAGGACCAATGAGAATTCAATACCAGATCACCCCTGTCTCCTCGATAGAGGAACCACCTCACAGCTCATCACACCTGCGTGGAGTACATGCTGCACACTGTACATTTGTACCTACTCTTCCTGTGCCTCTGAGGTTGCTAAGATGTTCTTGAGCGAAACGTCAAGCTATTTATCAGTGTAAAACTGACTTCGGTTTCATGCTAGAAATAGTTAATCAGTCCATTTTGGTGATAATCAATAACTTATGTTTGCACACACACACACGCACACACACACACACACACACACACACACACACACACGCACACACACACACACACACACACACACACACACACACACACACACACACACAACACACAACACACACACACACACACACACACACACACAACCACACACACACACACACACACACACACACACACACACACACACACACACACACACAATACACACGTATAAATGAGCCACAAAAACATTAGAAAGAACGTTTTTAATGTCAGAGTAGTTGACAAATGGAATGTATTAGGAAGTTTTTTTTTATTTACTTTTACATGCGTACATGCGAATAAATACAATAAAACAAGAACAAAGCAGAACACAAAGACAAAGGCACAAAACAAAAAAGACAAATACACTAAATACCGGCCTGAAGGGCCGACGAGCAACGAGCATGAACACAAAGGAACACAGTAAATATAGACAACAAGACAATACAGGAGGGTAATGGAAATAAACAAAAAATTACACATAGCACAAAATCACAGTAGAAAAAGAACAGTGCAAGACGTGTTGCGCAATGTTAAGCGTACAGGCAAGCATGAGTAAGGCAACAGATCACAATAATCACAAAGGCACAGTTACAAAGGCACAAGGTTACAAAGGACAAAGGCACAGTTACAAAGGACAAAGGCACAAAGTTATAAAGGACAAAGGCCCAGGTAGAAATTACAAAGGCACAAAGTTATAAAGCACCAAAGACACAAAACATCGGCCTGAAGGGACGACAAGAAAACAATAAGCACATCAGTACAATGACAAAATACCCTCACCCTCACCCCAACAACCCAACCCGTGAAACAACACAAAACAAGCCAACTGGCCTTGAAAGACCACACAGAGAGGTACAACACATAACACCAATAAAGTAAATACATTACACTCAGGCACACACGCACGCAACCGCACACAAACGAACACAACACCACAACACATAGCACAAACACACACACACAAAAAAAAATCACTTAAAAGAATGAGACACGACAGTGGTAGGCAAATACTTCTCAGGAAAATCATGCCTAGTATATTTCTGCTTATAAGCTTCCCACACTAAGTACTCCCTGTCGGTAGGAAAACGGTCCCCCTGCTTCAGGGGGGCGGGCATAAACTCGGGAACCACCAGATCAGGCGGAAACGGCAGCATCCGAAGCTGGGCGACAGTCGTCGCATAACGAGGTAAGGCAGAGCGAAGGAAAGCAGAAGACACGGAAGAAGCGGACGCAGGCCCCCGAGACGGCCCCGCCGCCGGACGCACAGCAGAAGACGACGAAGGCCGCCGAGACGGCAACTCCACACCTGACACTGCAGGAGACACAGTAGAGACGGTCGGAGACGGGAAAAGTGGCAAAACCGCTGCCGATGAACCAGAGGACGAAACTGGGGGTACGGAATTTCCAGAGCGAGCAGTCTTCTTGAACACCACCATCAGGTTACTACGCTCACCAGCAGGAGGAACCACCCCCACGCAGAACCGGAACCATCCGACGCAGGTGACGCACCGGAAGCAAGCTCCACAGGCACCTCATGAAAAGAAACATCGATACAGGCAGCCGCAGGCACATGGACCTCCGCCACCACCGAGGAATGCGACGGAACCTCACCACTGTCACTGGAAGATCCACCATCGTCGAATTCTCCCGCATCAGCCCAATCAGAAGATCTCCGGGAACGCTTGGGCACCGGCCTCACATCATCAGAGCCGGATGTCGACCCAGAGACCCGGACAACACAAGCCGGGCGAACCGACGCCCTCCGCAGGATGGCAGCATCCTCAACCACACGGGGAACCAGGTCGAGCACAGTAGGAGGTCCCACAGCGACCCCAGCACCCAGCACATCCTGGGCACACGGCGAGGGAGCAGTGACAGGCACCACAGATGGAGAACAGGAAGACAGGGGAGCCGTGCATACAGGAGCCGGAAGAACCATAGAAGCATCCAGGACAGCAACCGGGGCAAGACAAACACCCGACGGCGACACAACCGCCTGAGAGGCAACCGCAACAGGCGACACAGCCTCTGGAGGAGGGGCGACATCTGCAGGAGACGCTTCAGGCGACACACGGGTACGGCAGCAGCCAAAGCGGCGTCCACACCCACCGAATCCTCCTCCACAGGGAGCGGCAGGAAATCCTCCTCACGGAAGAGGTTGACAGGCGCGACGTCAGGTTCAGAGCACCCAGCAGCCTGATGACCCAAGAGGCCACAACGGTAACACGTACGGGGGCTGGCGAGCATAATACACTCGAACAGAACACCCCAGAAGCCTCACTTGAGAAGGAATGTGCGCCCGCAGCCTCATTCCTAGGGTGCGAATATTTGACCGCACACCCTTTAGCAGACCCGAGGAGAGCAGGTGCAACCGCACACTGACGACCGTCCCAAACTGGCCGAAATAAAGCCTCAGCAGTCCCTCCGGAAATTCTAGGGGTGCCCCATGCACGCTTACATAGGTGATGACACCACTGCGATCGAAGACAATCACAGTGCCCGCACCTTCGGGCAGGGGCAAGGTCCGCCCCTCGTACCGACGTAAAAACGCCCTATACACCTCCTCTGTCGTTAGTTTAACAACCACTCTATGGCCAGACACCAGCTCAACACGATAAACATCCCCCACAGGGACCCGCAGCATGTCACACAGCACCAAACGCACCTCGGGATAACCCGCCCGAGCAGAAAACTCGAGGCCTATAGACTGGGCACGCAAAACAGGGGGGAGGGTGGGGCCCCCATTGCGCCGACACGCCAAACCGCACCTGCCCCCTCGCAACTCTAGGTAGCAATTGGCAGGTCAAGCGAGTGCGTCTTGACCCCCTGGCCGCCAATGAGCGAATCCATGTATTAGGAAGTGATATGGTGGAGGCTGACTCCATACACAGTTTCAAGTGCAGAGATGATAGGCTCAGGAATAGATATGATAGGTTCAACCCAATAGGCTCAGGAACCTGTACATTAGTTGATTGACAGTTGAGAGGCCGGAGTGGAGCTAGTGGCATCACCGGAGCATATAAGTGTGGAGGAATGCGACCTGACAGACCAGGTGGGTCGACCCGCCGTGGAACTACCTGATTGTGTTTGTTGAGTGGTGACTGTGATCAGTAGTAAAGTAAATTAGTGAACTGTCACACAACGATACAGTGACTGACTCCAGAGCTTTGTGCAGACAGAGAAGAACCGACATCATCAATCT